CCCCTCAGCGACAGAAGTACTCCAAAAAATAGATGAAACAATTGAAATCCACGACACAACCAAGTCCTTCCACACAATATGTGACCCATGGCTAATAAGATCCGCACTAGCACCATAGACCTTAAGGGGCCCATCCTCTCCTGCCAGACAGACCTCCCCCTGCACAACCCTCCTCACCCCCTTCACCCCCCCCTTTTTTCCCCTCTTTCTCCTCTTTTCTCTCTCTCTTTTTCCCACCTCTCTCTATCTCCTCTTCCCCCCATATCTCTCGCCTTCCCAATCCGCCTCCCACGAATTACACAAGGACCACTCTACAAGGACCAGATGGGAAACACCCGAATGGGAACAGGCCTGCACAAGCCCTCCCACACTAGGGAGCCGCGAATGGAGAAGAGCAATCTGAGACTCTGAGAATGGAACCTTGACTTTAAGGAACCCAAAGCAGAGAGGGGCAGCTAAGAAAAGGCCATGAAAAATAATGATCACCAAGATCCAATTTTCCCTTGAAAATTGCTTTGTCACGGATGCATGACAAATATTAATACACCTTTTATAAAGCAGTTTTTGGTCCATTATAGAAATGTATTACATGCATTTAGTAATTGGAACTGAGCTTCTTCTCTTACAATATACAATGCAATTTTTATTTCTGAAATAAATACAGGTTTTGACTACAACTATTCTAATTTATTCCCACAGCTGGCGTAGTTTCTCATTCCATTGTCAAAGGATGCGTTACTGAAAACATGCCCTGTGAACATGTGGGCTATATGGATGTTGGAGGTGAAAATGCTTCTACAGTAATAATTAATATTAAATGTTGTGAAGGGGACGACTGCAACACGTTTAATTTTGATAGTGAGTACCTTTAATTTTTTTAAAGAGACACTTTTAAGCATTATACAAAACAAAATGTATACTATTGATCATTATACTATGAATTAATAATTAACTATTTAATATTAAGTAATATGAACCTACAAGGTAACATGTTCACTTGTGTGGAGATGGCCAAGGGGGAAGCAGAGAAGATAAGTAGATTTACTTACCTTACTGCCTCTCCTCAGCGCCTCCATCTTTTAGCTGTCATACTTCTTTTCCCTCTGGCAACTTTATTCGGAAGATTCTGCAAGAGGGATCGTACATATATTATCTGGCACGTGTACCATAAGGTGCCATTAGTAATAGTATCCAAAGCTCTTCCTTAACAAAAATTGCCATAGATTGGCAATTACTTGGGACAAAATAGTTCCTACCTTGTCTCATACATGTTTTTAAATTCAAGAAAATTCTAAATGGTCAGAAAGAGTACTATCTTTATGAAAAGCTCAACAGTGATAGTCACTTTAAAAAGTCACTCCAAGCACTATACCATAGATTTTCTGTGGTAATGTTGCTGTGAGTGTGTATGTGCAGTTTTTAAGTTTGAAGGAACTTTGCTACAGGAGATGCAACTCTACCTCTGGCAGTGCCATTAGCCAGATTGGAAAGATAGTACTTGGCTGACTAATGTAAATTCTGTGCATATTTTGCATCTGTTGTCAGCACATATAGCATGTTGGTGACAGATGACCAATGGTGCCACAGCTTCCTTCTCTGTACCACCCAATCTGACTGCACATGTCTAATTCTAATTATGTAGTTAATTAGTCAGTGGCCATAGGCCACTTAGTGTCCCTCCCTGGACACTAAGTGGCAAACCTAATCTAAGGACTTTCCCAGCTGTGTAAACTCAGTTTTGTGGAGCCCTCAATGGGCAAACTTGGATTAATTTGTTGGCATTGCTTATTTTGTGATCTGGTCCCTTTTTATTTAAAAAGGTGCAGTTAAGACTTTATGGATATTTTTGTCCATATTTGGAGCTTAACTGAAGAAGATTTAAAGGACCACTCCACACCAACAAAGCACTGCAGCTTGCTGAAGTGACACCCTTGACAGAGTAATAGTGGTTTGGAGGAATATAATGTGTTGCACTGCCCTGGCTTTATGCATTACATTTTCCACACATCCACACCCATTCACACTTATCCCGTCCTTTAGCGGGCTATTTGGTGGTCATGTGAAAGTGCTCAAATTCTAGTCAAGTGTGGATGGGTCTCTGCCCAGTAGTTGATTGAATAGCTGTGTTTCTCAGGACGATGTCACCTGCAGGGAAGACACTAGGTAATTGTGCATAGACTGCTAAGAATGCGCATATCTGCGTGGTTCACCTGCTACAGCACTGGTGAGATTTTTAGATTTCACAATTTTTCTGCTGATAGTGCTTATTAAAGGTCTGGTAGCTAGTGGGGTCTACCAGAGCTCTCATTATATGCAGTCATCTCTTTTAGTGTCCAGACCATGCCCCTCTTTTGAGACTACTTTTAAAACACTAATAAGATGGAACAGATTGTTAAACCCCCTCAAAACAGATAATTTGCAGATCTGTTACTTATTTTGTTCAATGAAAGAAAAAAGAAAGAGCTTGATTGACAAGGAGTAGGCATCTTTGCCCTTTAGAAAGGATAAGAAAAAAAAATAATTTGTAAAGATTCTATGAAGTAACTACTTCCCATTAATGGCAACTTGGAGTTAGAGAAGAGAAGACTGTAAGATGATGTAAAGAAAAGTACTATATAATGTATCTTTACAATACATCTTTACTCACAGTTCCAGAGAAGAGTGAAACATTTGAAGGAAAAACTTGTCCCACCTGTTTTAAATACGAGTACAACAAGGAATGTGTTCCAGAAACTGATATAGTGTGCAGGCAGAAAGAAGACATGTGCTTCACCTATCTGGGTACCCTTGCTATACATGGTAGTTATACAGATGTCAATAAGTAACAAATGTATTTTCCAATGACCTACTTGTATAATGCTTGTTAGATATGAGATAAAACAGATCTGTGTACTGTATGAAGCTATTGCTGCTTGTATGCACTACTTAATTTGTATCTGAGAAGAAGTCTAGGTTGGGATAGATCCTGAGGTCCATCACTTATAATCTAAAGATCACAGAATAAGAACATTTTGAAAACTTTTTTTTTTTTAATCAAGTTTAATAAACTGGTTAAGGAATATAGAGTATACAATCAGAAATAAAATAAATAAAAAACACGTATCATATAAGATACTTTATATAATAGTAATACAATACTGCAAGTTGAGTGTCCCATCGTTAGTTGAACAATCCTACAAGCTTTTTTCAAATAAAGAGAAAACTGGAGGAAGAGAAGGTTAGAAGAGTGTGAAATAAAATCAAGATAAAGGAAGAATAAAATAGTTATTAAGGAAAAATATGAAGCATGTAACTTGCATTGGAAGATAATGTGAAAAAAGTGGTATTTGTGAATGAGTTTGTAGTAAATAATTTGTAGCCAAAGTAATAATATGGATATCTTCACCCACCCAACTCAAGGCCTATGTTTTCCTGGATCCCCTCAATTCTATGGGACATACTCAGATAGGAATGCTGTATTTATTATCAGAGAATCTGAATTACACTAGTATTGTACATACGTTTTTGAGCTTTAGTGTCTAAATAATGAATCCATCTTGCTTTTATTATTATTAATAATTATTTATTTATTATTTAATAATAATTATAATCATATAAAGGGTTTAATGTGTATTTATGGTCCCTAACTAAAACAAAACAGGCACACTTTTTAGGCAAGTAGCTACTGAACAAGGGGCTACTGAAAATTTAATAGCTTTCATTGATCGCTATAGGAAAATTAAAACTTTCATCAACCACTAATTGTCAGTTAGTAAATGGTAAAAACTGTAGCTACTACACTGTAATTGCTAATGGTAGTGACTACCATTTAAGTGATTACAGTCTTTTTGCAATCATTTAGCAATCATTCAGCGCAAAGTCCTATGAAGAAAATAAGTATTTTATTTTATTCACCTAGAACAAAATACATTTAGACAAATATTTACTGAGGCAAGATAGGAGTTTATTTGTAATAAGAAATAAGGGTTAGCATGAATCCAAATTGTATTTCTACCTGCCTGCTTTGTGATTTCAAAATTCATGTATTTTTTTGAGTAAGTACAAGGCTGGCAGATTTATTTGTTAACTCACAAAATGTTGAGAAATCAAACAAGGTTACTCACTAAACACTAGATTTTGGCAGCTCTTGGAAATCAGAGGTGGGAGACTTTAAATTAAAAATATGCAGCGGAGAGGTTACTATCCACACCCTTGCCCCATCTGTGGCCAGAGGGTGGGGGTTATAACATTTAGAAAAAAAAAAGGTATGGGCATCTTATGCCCCCTCTGCCCTACCTATGGTTAGTAGTTGGGGGATATTTACTAAAAGCTGGGAACCTGATGTCCCTAATCCAGCCTCCAACCATTGGCAATGGTTTGAGGCTCTTATGCTAGTATATGGGGGGATATAATGTCTCCTCCCAAACCCGCCCATTAGAAGCAGGTGGGACTTTAGTTATAATATTGAGGGATACATAATGTCCGCATTGCAGCTCCCAGCCATGGGCAGAAATTGTTGGCTCTACATAATTAAACAAAAGGGAGCCTAGTGTCACCCAGCCTTCACTATTAATGGCATGTAGGGGTTCTAATTACAATATACAATGCTGGGGTGAACATGCCATTGTCCACTCTCCAAAATTGCTATTGTCATGCCACAGAGTGGTGCCAATTTCCCTAGCCCTGCCATTAAAAAAACATCCCTACCTACTCCCTCACCCTAATAATAATGATGGTGGGAAGTTAAAACGAAAAACAGATTATATAATTATTATATAATAAAAATTATTATATAAGATTGCAAAAACCGATTGGAAAAATTCAAAACTGTGTCACAAAAAAGGAAATACATCGGCTGGCAGATTCCAAATGCAGGATAGCTTCCCAGAACCATACTTTGTTGGGACAGTACCCCAAAATAATGTACTGTCCCAGCAAATTTGGAATTCTTGGCACCTATTTATGTTTTGAAACGTGCATTCACTGTGCTCTTTCTTTATTTAATTTCTGTTTTATTTCAACTTTACAGGAGTTTTGGAAGTGCAGTTTTCTGACAGAGGATGTATGGATTCCCATTTATGTAATGATTACTTTGATTTGATGACCATAGTGAAGGATGTTGACACAGCTGTCTTTACTTGCATTTAAAATACAAATCAAATAGCCAATTCTACTGAGGTTTGCAATCCCCAAAAGCAAATTTGTATTTCATTTTTGACAATATTATTTGAAAAAAATATAATTGTAATTTTATTATCACAAAATAATAAGAAAATAAATGAGGCCAATATAAAATGTTTCTTATTTTGACTGGCTATTTTGTCTCCTACTTATAAGGGTACCGTTTGTGAATGCTATATTTTATGCAGCCCCTCTCTAAATTCTAAACTGAAAAAAGGAGCTGGGTAGACTGAAAGGTACTTTCTCTGTCTCCGCATCTCCTCTATCAGCATATCAGTTTTCTGGTGAAGGCTGCAAAAAACAGCTTTTGTTGGTTGTGTCCCACCAATTTTATATATATATATATATATATATATATATATATATAATCACTGTCTTTGCATCTCTTCCTGAGTTGTGTTTCAAAGCTGTTGTATACAACAAGCATAAACTTCAAGGAATCCATGGTTAAGAAGGAATAATATGACAAAAATGTGATTCTTTGTTGAACTCATTTGCATATGCCCACCCAGATTCCCTTGCAACATCAGTGGAAATTTGAGATTTCTGTGGGAAAAGCAAGTCTTATGGCTTGACTGGTGTGCAGATATGTGAATAAACATTGGATTTTATAGAAGACCGTGAGTGCAGCTATTTCCCTACCTTGACTATATATATATATATATATATATATATATATATATATATATTGTAACAGACCGTTTTGCCCACAAAAGGTTCAAAAACCGTTTAAGCGATATTTCCCTTTCAGATGCACAGGCACAGCTACTGCAGAACACCAATCCGCCGAACAGGAAACCATATGAATGCTGTAAACAGCCGAATAGGAAAAACCATATGAATAGGTTTACACTCCTAGCAGTCAAACTGGAACAGCATACAATAAATCCCCCCAAGAACGAGACAAAGCTCTGTGTTGAGGGTCAAGCAGTGAACAGCCAGAGCTGTGGGTTTATTGTTCTTATATACACATTAGTACCACCTGCAGGGTTTGGAACACAACCAATAAACACATACAATACACTCAGACACTCTCACACAAAATCCTCCACACTGCCTGTGATACAATTACCTTACACAATGGGAAATTCAATTATCATAAGCAGAGAAATACAATTTTTCCACATTATTCATAACTTGAAAAGTATGCATCACATTCAAATCACATTTTCAGAATCAGCATACTCCAAATACAAACATATGTCACAATCATCCAAATTGGTCCATTGGTTCAAAAGATAGATCATAGTCCTTTGTGACCAAAGGAAGCACGGTTTTTCTGCCCAAAACCAGTTCCACAGAGTCTTCTATCCTGGAGATAATTGGGAAGTAATCCAATTATCTCCAAAGACAGAGGCAAAACTCCATTGAACTCATGGCAGCAAAAGACAATAAAACACATAAAAACATATAACTGTGCAGCCATTGCACAAAACAGGTACATTCAACATATCCCCAGATAGCTCAGATCTGAGCACACATTATTACTGAATGGCGCTCAGAGCACACACATACAGTTCAATTGCCATGGAGCCAAAGTCTTTCCCATAGTCTTTCATTATACGAATGGGCTCCATGGCATAGCTATCTGGGGTATCACCGCTCAAACAGGGCAAGCACCAAATGACCCGGCTTTCATGTCTTTGCAGGGAAAAATCAAGCCTTTTAACATGGGGCCATAATCCAAAGGCAACAGGCGAGCAACCAGGCTTCTCCAATGCAATGTGGCGAGATTGGTCTCGTCACATCTATATATATTTGTGTTAGGTGCTCATGATGGTACAGAGTAAAAATACCATAATTAAATGTAGGATAGTAAAAAGGGGCAAGTCGGTTGTGGTGTGCCGGAACCGACGATGAGCTAGGCCTGAGAAAGAAGAGGGCCTACCTAGGAAAAAGAAATAGAAAGGAAATAAATGTTAAAATGTGGTGTGGTGGGAGGGTCATTCAACGCTGACCTCGAACAGTAAGGATCAAGGTAAGGGGTGTGCCTTAAGTAGGCTAGGAGTGTATACCAAGCACCTCCCACAAATCCAGGCAAATTGCCTTAATACTTGTGTTAGGTGCTCATCATAGTACAGAGTAAAAATACCATAATTAAATGTAGGATAGTAAATATATATATAGTGTGCCGGAACCGACGATGAGGTAGGCCTGAGAAAGAAGAGGGCAAAAATTAAGTAATCAAATTTATTACAGACAACCAATACAAATACATATATCAACCAGACATGTTTTTGAAAGCATCCCTTAATTCTTGTACTGGGTTTGGTATGTATTGTGAGTAGCAGATGACTTCCAGTGCCCCAGTGTTTTTATAACATGAACTGGAATGTTGACACTGGAAGCTGTGGACGCTGCTCCTATGCGGAAGGAGTGCTCTGAGTAGTTAGCTGCCTTGAGGCCCAGTTGAATGAGCAAAGACCTGACGTAGGTCATGAAGGTTGTAGTGGTGAGTACCAAACTTTGTAATAGTAGTAATGGTTGTGATGGTATTGAAATATGATGCTGTAGGTATGCATCCAGAACCTTGACGGGGCACCACTTGTTGTGCGTGGGGTAGAATGGAATTTTTACTGGTATGTGCTGGCTGGTTTTGGAGTAAGGTAGCGTTAGGATGGAATGATCCATGTGTTTTGTTAAGTGGGAATAGAGGAGAATAGGAGCAGATTGTGTTATGTTGGTCGTAGTAAACTCTATAGGTCTTAGGAATCCATAGAAAGCTATGTATATTGCTGCTTTGATGACAGAATTTGTATTGGTGTCAAAAGGTTTTAAATCAAGCAGGTTTGATAATGCCTTGAAGATATGGTTATCTATGGGTAGCCTCTGTGATGTATGTGTGGGTTCAGATTTCTGAATGCCTCTGAGTATGGTCTTGATCTGGTGAGAGGCCATGAAACTAGTGTTGTTAGGTTGTAAGATTAGCATATGGTGTTGAATAACAGAGTGGTGAACCGCGCCACAGGATAGTAGAGGATAATTAAGTATGAATAACAACATATACATACATACAGAGTATCCCAGTAATAAGGTAATAAATATAAACCTTAAAAAGATAAAAATAGAGACAATAATAGTGCAGTATATCAATGCAAGGAAATAAAGTGAAATATTGACGAAAACCAGTAGAAGAACCAACTCACACTTTCCAGAGCTGCTAAGAGCTCTGCTGTGTAGCGCCTGGACGGTGTAATCCCCGTCTTAGGATATAGTAGTGGTGGTGAGATCTGGTTTCCAAGGCTCCACAGGCGTGCATAAAATAAAAGCACAAATAAAATCCAATAGTGTAATATGTACTGAAAATGTGAAATAAAAGCAAAGGGTAAATACCCTACTTACAGTTTCCAGAGCACTAAACTTGCTCTGGTGGTGAAAGCTTGTGGTGGTATAATCCCCACCAAGGGATATAAGCAGGATCCAAAGTGCACAGGAATAAGAGGTAGATCAAGGATTGAGGTAGAAACAAACTACAACTTTATTATTAAAATAAAAAATCTTGAGTATAAAATCTATAATAAAAGTCTTGATCCACTTCTAAAAACTTCTTGATCCACTTTACGCGTTTTGCCCAGATAAGGGCTTCTTCAGTATTGTTAATTTTGAGGAGTATCAGTTCAAATCCTTATATAGGGTGTTTTATTCCGGTGTGTGCACTCTTCCTGCTTCCGGCAGGTGGCGTGCGTCGACCGGAAGTGACGCAACGCGGCTTGAAGGGGCTGACGGGACATGTAGTCCTGGTATTGCTGATAATATTGCTGATAATTCCGGTAGTCGCGGACATCGCCGAAATATGACGTCACGCGACTAACGGTGCATTCTGGGGGGGTAGTTCATTGAACAGGCTTTCAATCTTTCGGCATCCTCGGTTAAAAAGGAGGAAATTAGACATGATCATACAAGTATATATACACGCCGAATATGTAAAACTAACAGTTGTTAATAAACTTTGGTGCAAACCTATATAGCAAAGCTCATTAATACACTTTGGAAAAAACATAATTCTATTATTTGTGGATCTGCAGTACAATTAAAGGACCGCTGTATCTGTACATCTAGACATCAAAAATATACATTAAGCTCTATATAAAATAAAAGAACACCAATATTTGTCGAAATATATGTGTACAAGGTGAACCTTTACATTATAGGAACATAGGAGAGGTGTATGGTATCAATAAAAATTACAAAATTAAAAATTAAAATTCACTTGATAAACCATAAAAATGTATGATGAAGTGAATTGTTAAGAGTATACTATGTAAAAAATTATAAAAAATAGTAAAAAATTATAAAAAATTAAAAAGATCAAATTCAGCATTGAGTCCATTGGGTTGTAATGTATCTAGAAAATATACCCACTCCATCTCTTTTTTGCCCAATTTATTAACCATATCACCACCTCTCCAATATTGAGATAGTTTCGTGATACCAAAAAATTTAAGTAGGCGTGGGTCATTATTGTGTAATTCAAAGGGAGAAGATACAAGATGGTTTTTAAAACCCATTTCTATATTCCTGCAATGTTCTCCAATTCTAGTTTTTAGGGGTCATATAGTTCTTCCCACATATTGTAAACCACACGGGCATTCTAATAGATAGATCACATTCTTACTCATACATGTAATAGTGTCCTTGATCTCATATTTTCTATTAGTATTATTTGATTTAAAATCCACAGTATGTCTGTTAATTTTTTTAGTTTTCTTACAAGCTACCCATCAATTACATCTAAAAAATCATTTCTTGTTACTTAAAAAACTATTCAGAGCATTAGAATTTTCTTTTTTAGTGTAGTTCTTTGTACGTTGCATTTTTAAATTTGGGGCCCCTCTGAATACTATTTTTGGTTGATCTGGGATGATTTTCCCTAATATTCTATCTTCCTTTAATAAATGCCAATTCTTTTTGATTATTTTCTTTAAATGTTTATTTTTATTATTGTAGTCTAAGACTATCGGTAACATAAATTATTTTCCATCTTTTTTATTCTTTTGATCTTTCTTTCTAATTAAAGTATTTCTATCCATACTTGATATTTCTTTTATAGTATCTTCTATTGCCTCTTTATTA